GAATGATGTTCAATCTGAAAATCAGCAAGTTGCTAATTCTATTCTTCCACCTAAAAAGGATAAGTCTACATCTATTTCTAAGGCCGAGGGGATTAAATTGAAGGGTGGTGTTATGCTTGCAACAAAATGTGACTTTGCTGAAATTTCTGATGATGATATTTGCTATGCTTTAGTATGCAAACAAGCTATGTTTTCGCTTGATGATATTGTTAGTTCGGTGCCTCCTGCTGTCACTAACCTTTTGTAGGAGTATGAGGAAATTTTCCCAATTGAGATACCTCCAGGGCTGCCACCTATGAGAGGGATAGAGCATCAAATCGATTTGATTTCGGGAGCAACCTTGCCTAACCGTGCTGCCTATCGAACCAATCCCGAGTAGACTAAGGAAATTCAGCGGCAAGTCCAAGACCTTTTGGACCGTGGGTATGTATGTGAAAGCCTTAGTCCTTGTGTCGTTCCTGTAGTTTTGGTTCCTAAGAAAGATGGAACTTGGCGTATGTGTGTTGATTGTAGAGCCATCAATAATATTACTATTCAGTATCGTCATCCTATTCCTAGGCGAGACGACATGCTTGATGAGTTGTGTGGCTCTATAATTTTCACCAAGATTGATTTGCAAAGTGGCTACCACCAAATTAGAATAAAACTTGGAGATGAATGGAAAACCACGTTTCAAACCAAATTCGGGTAGTATGAGTGGTTAGTAATTCCTTTTGGTTTGACAAATGCACCTAGCACTTTCATGCGCTTAATGAATGAGGTTTTAAGAGCTTTTATTGGTCATTTTGTGGTAGTTTACTTTGATGATATATTGATTTACAACAAATCTTTTGTTGAACATATGGATCACTTACGTGCTGTTTTTAATGCTTTACGTGATGCACGATTATTTGGTAACCTTGAGAAGTGCATCTTTTGCACCAATCGAGTTTCTTTTCTTGGCTATGTTGTAACTCCACAGGGAATTGAGGTGGATGAGATGAAAATTGAAGCCATAAAGAGCTGGCCGGTTCCCCAAACCATCACACAGGTGAGGAGTTTTCTTGGTCTTGCAGGATTCTACCGCCGCTTCGTCAAAGATTTCAGCACCATTGCTGCCCCATTGCATGAGTTGACGAAGAAAGGGGTGGTGTTCCATTGAGGAAAGGCACATGAGGAGTCCTTTGACACCTTGAAGGACAAGCTCACACACGCACCATTGCTGCAACTTCCAAACTTTGGTAAGACTTTTGAGCTAGAATGTGATGCTAGTGGAGTTGGCATTGGAGGTGTTTTGATGCAAGATGATAAACCCATTGCTTACTTTAGTGAAAAATTGCATGACCCTATTCTGAATTATTCCAAATATGATAAGAAATTGTATGCACTTGTCTGTTCTTTAGAGACGTGGCGTCATTATTTGTGGCCTAAAGAATTTGTTATTCATTCTGATCATGAATCGCTTAAGTATCTTCGCTCTCAACATAATCTGAATCGTAGGCATGCTAAATGGGTTGAATTTATTGGATCTTTTCCTTATATTATCAAACACAAGAATATGAAGGATAATGTGATTGCTGATGCTTTGTTTAGACGATATACATTGCTGTCCCAACTTGATTGTCGGATTTTTGGGCTTGAATCAGTAAAAGAACAATATGCGCTTGATCCTGATTTTAAGGACGTGTTGCTGAATTGTAGAGAGGGAAGTACATGGAATAAGTTTATGATTAATGATGGGTTTTTGTTTAGAGCTAACCGCCTATGCATTCTAGTTGGCTCCGTTCGTCTTTTGTTGTTGTAGGAGGCACATGGAGGCGGATTGATGGGACATTTTGGAGCCAAGAAGACGGAGGAGGTGCTGTCCACACATTTCTTTTGGCCTAGGGTGAGGCGAGATGTAGAATGGTATGTGGCTCAGTGCACCACATGTCAAAAAGCTAAGTCACGGTTGAACCCACATGGTTTGTATATGCCTCTTCCTGTTCTTTCTACTCCTTAGGCTGATATATCTATGGATTTTGTGTTGGGCTTGCCAAGGACTAAGAGGGATAGGGATATTATTTTTGTGGTGGTTGATCGTTTTTCTAAGATGGCACATTTTATTCCTTGTCATAAGAGCGACGATGTTGTTCATATTGCTGACCTTTTCTTTCAAGAAATCGATCGTTTGCATGGTATGCCTTCTACTATTGTTTCAGATCGCGATGCAAAATTCTTGAGTCATTTTTGGCACACTTTGTGAAATAAATTGGAGACCAAGCTGTTGTTTTCTACAACATGTCATTCCCAAATTGATGGGCAAACTGAGATAGTGAATTGAACATTGTCCACCATGTTGAGAGCAATTTTGAAGCACAATTTGAAGATGTGGGAAGAGTGTTTGCCGCATGTGGAGTTTGCATATAACAGGGTGGAACATTCCACCACCAAGATAAGTCCTTTTCAGGTAGTGTATGGTTTTAACCCCCGCGCTCCTATTGATCTTTTGCCTTTACCTACCACTGAGAGAACACATAGTGATGCTAGAGAGCATGCTGATTTCATTCGTAAGTTGCACGAAACAACTAAAGAAAATATTGAAAGAATGAATGAAAAGTATAGAATTGCTGGTAGTAAAGGTAGAAAAGAAATTAAACTTGAACCGGGTGATTTGGTTTAGTTAGATTTAACAAAAGATAGATTTCCTGAGCTGCGTAAGTCTAAATTAATGCAAAGAGTAACTGGTCCTTATAAGATAATTGAGAAAATAAATGATAATGCCTACAAACTTGAGTTGCCACCCGAGTTTGGAGTTGGTCCCACCTTTAACATTGCAGATTTAAAGCCTTATTTGGGACAAGAAGATGAGCTTGAGTTGAGGACGACTCAGTTTCAAGAGGGGAAGGATGATGAGGACATCACTCCTTCGGATGTACCTGCTAATCCTCCAACCATCATGCAAGGTCCAATGACCCGAGCTCGAATGCGTCAACTCAATTTAGAGGTGAGCTCGTTCTTAAGCGATCCTTTTCATACTTTTGAGAATAGACTACAACCTAATGATGTTATCTTTCTTAGAAACATTGGAGAGGGTCATGAGGGACTTAGAGGAAGAGGTGGAGGTAATGATGACCAGCAAGGACGTCCAACAGAAACCGGAGGCCCGGTCCAACATGATTTCGAGTCTGCCTCGGCCTCCAAGACCAGTCTGCCTTAAACTGGTCACCCAGGACGCATCCGGACTCCGTTTTCGACAATGCACATATTGTTGGAAAGATAATTTAATAAGAAAGCCAATCCAAGTGGTCTCACCTCAAAAGCTCTTCGGTATCCAAGGTAATTGTCGAAACAAGTTAGCATACAGAATATGTCTAGGTGCTGCGTCACCGTATCTAGTCCAATGGGCCGTGTATCGTCTTTGAGCCCGTCAGGGGGCGCGTCCAGGGTAGGCGATGACCCTAAGACCTTTATAATCATGCGTCGCCGCTGTTATTAGGTTTTGGGTTTTGCTTAGATTAATCTGTCAAGAACAGTTTCACCGTTCATCGGTTTGTGAGGCCCCAACATCGTGAGATTAATCATTCATCTGCAATTTGGTTGTTCTCTTTCTTGTTCTTGCTTGTGTTCTTCGTTGCGCAGGCAGGGATTAGCCTTCTTGGCGAGGTCAACCGGATCCGTGTCTCGGTTGATAACCAGAGGAGTTGTGGTGCTAAGATTGTAGGGTTCGATCTTTCGATCTGAAGTCGGATCAGTGTGTCATTCTCCGCCACAACGATAGTTACCTCTACCTGACGGAAGATCGGGATCCCCGTCCCCATTACATAGCCTAAAAAGCAGTGGAGATACGTCAAAGCAATGTTGCTGACCAATATGTTGGCCATGCGGTGTAGGTGCTCCTTCTTCGCCAGAAGAGCTCACGAATAAGTTAGACACGTCGAGGTTGCCATTTAGAGCGCCAACAGATCTCGTCGAGAGACAAGCTGAACAATGGGGGTTGAAAAAGCTTGAGATAGTTGTAGAAAAGGGTAGTAGATTGGTTTTTCGTCGAATATGTTTGGTTAACCTCAATCGACAGTGATCCTTTGATATATTAATTTAGGGGGTTGGTCTTATCGCAGTACAAAACATTTCCAAAATGCATTCCATAGGTAGCCCAGAACTTTAGAGGAGTTTGGATCGAATCTGGGCAAGTTTGCACTCAGATAGGCAAAACTGGCCTATGCCGGTTTGCACAGGCGCTGCAGCCAGGCTAAGAAAACCGGCCCGAGCTACTCCCTCTATCCCAAATTATAAGTCATTTCAACTTTCTTGGAGAGTCAAAACATTTCAAGTTTAACAAAAATTATATTGATAAAATAATAATATTTATGATACTAAATAAGTATCATTAGATTCTTCATTAATTATATTTTCATAGTATACTTATTTGATGTCATAAATCTTTGTAATTCTCTCTATAATTTTGGTCAAACTTGAGATGCTTTGGCTCTCTAATAAAGTTGAAATGACTTATAATTTGGAATGGAGGGTGTAGTTTGGTAGTCTGTTGCCAGCCCGTGAGCACCGGTTTGGCAAACATGTCTAGGCTACGGTTTGATCTGGGTTGGTTCCACGTGTTGAGCCGCTTACTTAGAACCAAACCGTGGTCACCTATATACATGATCACTGCAGACAAAGAGGCATCTTGATGTGCAGGCAAAGGAGGGGAAAGGGTCCAGCTGCTAGATCCCCAAGGTTCGTGCTTCTCCGTTTCCGCATTCTGTGAACATCACCAGTACCCAGGGTAATTTTCATTCGCAAATGCAGTCTACGATCCGTAATCCTTTATTATGTTATGCAAATGCAGTCTATTATCTGTAATCACAAATCAAAATTTCTATGGGTGGAGCCACGGGGTGCAAAATTATCACAGAGGAAACTGTGATAAACATAACATTGTTGATTATTATTATTCTTCACAGTGCTTACACAGCTTACAATCTTAATCTGTTTGAGTTGCTTCATCACATGAAGAAGGCGTCCAAACAAACAAGCAAGCAATGGCTTCTTCTTCGCTCCACGGCTCCGACAAACCGCCGTCCATGAACGTGGAGGCCATCCTCCAGATGAAGGCAGGCCTCGGCGACGACAGTTACGCCAAGAACTCTGTGATTCAGGTCAGCAACCTCGTCCTCGATCGTGACGCCACCGTACCGTACCACTAGACGCCCGGCCGGTGGGTGTTCAATCTGTAAACGTTTTCTGAACTGAAGATGATGCACGCGTCGACGCTGCAGAAGGAGAGCATGGACACCGTGAGAAGCCTCGTGATTGATTCAGCAACGCAGCTGTACCAGTCACTGAGACCGGAGATGTTTACGGTGGCAGACCTTGGATGCTCGTCGGGGACGAACGCGCTCGGCATGGTGGAGGACATCATCACCAGCATAGGGAAGTTGTGCAGCAGCAACGGGTCGCCGACGCCAGAGTTCTCGGTGCTCCTCAACGACCTCCCGGCCAACGACTTCAACACCGTCTTCTCCCACCTGCCGGAGTTCACCGCCAAGCTGAAGCAGGCGGCCGGAGACCAGTTGCCGATGGTTTTCATGTCCGGCGTTCCGGGGTCCTTCTACGGGAGGCTGTTCCCTAAAAGGAGCCTGCACTTTGTTTGCTCCTTCGCTAGCCTGCACTGGCTCTCTCAGGTAGTACATCTATCTATCTCACCGGAAAGGAAAAATGCAGGAAGGAACAGGGGAAAATTTTCGGCGTTCCAGTTCCATATCCAGACAGGGTACTTGGGGACTAATAGTTAATCAATGGTGCTGTGGGTCTTTCATGAATTTCATTTCATTCAGGTTCCTCCACTCTACGACGATGAAACCAACACGCCGATTAACAAGGGGAAGATGTTCATATCAAGCACGAGCCCTCCTGCGGTGGCGTCGGCCTACCTGAGGCAGTTCCAGAGAGACTTCAGCCTTTTCCTCAGGTCGCGGGCCGCCGAGGTGGTCTCCGGCGGCCGTGTGGTCATCACAATGCTAGGCCGGCGAACCGAGGGCTACGCGGACGTGGAAACCACCCTGCTGTGGGATCTTCTCTCCGAGTCCCTTGCTGCGCTTGTTTCACAGGGCTTGACGGAGCAGGAGAAGGTGGACGCCTACGACGTGCCCTTCTACGCGCCCAGCGTACGGGAGGTCCAGCAGGAGGTGACCACGGAAGGCTCCTTCAGCCTCGACGTGGTGCGGATGTACGAGGCAACCCACGGCGGGGGCGACTCCAAGAGCTACGGCAGGATGATAGCTATGACTGCCAGGGCTGTCCATGAATCCATGGTGAGCCACCACTTCGGGCCGGCCATCGTTGACCCGCTGTTCCACATGTACAGCGAGCTAGTCACCCAGTCCATGGAGAAGGGGGAGGTCAACAAGAGTGTTCAAATAGGGATGGTTCTCACAAGGTTGTAATAAGCGACTAAGCGTAAATTATGCAAGCATCTAGAATCCTACATTCCGACTGCTCATATCTGTTCTATAAAGCTACCCTCATCATTATGCAAGGTTGTGACAAAGTTGTTGTAAACCATGGTCCTTTTGGTTGGAATGCCCATAGGCTGCGTTTTTGTTATCTTCTTACTGTTACTAATTGGAGGCCCTCCAACGAAGAGTCCATGTTAATTCTCATCAGATACAGCAGAAGAAAAACATAAACCCTAGAAATTACAATAATAATCAAAACATTTGGTCTTCAACTTGGTAGACGTTAATCATCATCTCCAATAACAATCATTGGATCTATTATCTCTTATATAAAAAAAATTACCCACCATTGTACATTAAAAAGAACTAATATATATACTACACATTTTGAACACTATTATGTCACAAGTAAACATAATGTTGTATTCAAAAAAATGTAGACCAAGTAAACATCTATACCTTAAAATAAATATTTATTTTGATAGCTTATCAAGTGTGGAACAAATTTCTATTAACAAAACACATATAAATGACACTGACAATCCACGTTTGGCGATAAGCTCAGACAAATGGGGCTTCGAAGTTTAAGTTAAAATATAGATTCAAGACAAGAAATGGGGTTCAATAAGACATCGTATAACTTATATTAGGTGTCAACTAAATAAATATCATGCTAGAAGAAGATAAATCCTAAAAATTCTAAATAATGGACCCAATGGAGCTTTCACATTAGCCGTCACAAAACTTGCTACAAGGAAAAAAAACCTAGAAATTAAAAATTAGAAAATGTGACCATCATTTCAGTACACTCTAATACCATTGATAAGAATACCCATTTATTTTCTAAATAATTACCCGCCTCTGCAATTGTGAAAAACAACATAAAATTACCCATGATGATCTAAGTAATCCTAAATTTATGTCTAATTACCAACCTACTATTATGATAGATAATCTACATGACTCCTTAAATTTGAATCTAAATTACCACTTCTGTCCTAAAAAAATAAAATATCCTTTTAATCTATGTCTAAATTACCAACATCTTTTGTTATAATGTTTAAATAACCGCATATATGTTTCAATGTTGCCTATTTCTATTAACGCTAATATATTAAGATTTGACTAAAATAGATATACATGGTATGAAATCATGAGATCATGCATAGGCTTAAATACACACACACACACACACACACGTTATGTTTGAAAAAAAAACAAAACTAGCTAGCCTCATCCTCTTGAGTGCCTAATTGCTCCTTACACAAGTATTAGATCAGACCCTGGTGTTGGCTTAGTTGATGTCTATGGCCTGTACCACTTGTTTATATAGTCCCCACGAAGGTACACTTAAGTCCTAACAGAACTAGAGTCCCAATAGTATACCTCACTTAAGTCCTATTACAAATAGGATTTGAATCACCACACAACAATCAGTTAGCCACCGTCTTGTTCACTAGTGGGTTATCCAAGATCTATGTAGTAGCCCGTTTCATCGCTTTGTTCAAAGCATCCTCGTTACTTGTCGCAATATAAATTTGTAGATTTTGCTACATTATATTCGATCCCAACATCCGGTTGCAAATTTGGTCCTAGTAGTTTTTCTGAAATCATTCATAACCTTCGAAGGCTTAGAGTTGAGGATGCAAAGGTAAATTCAAAGGGAGAGTTGTGCGTCGGGGCTATTCCTAACACCTCGCCTCTCCTCCCATCCCTAGCTTGGGCTCCTCTTCCTCTCTCTCTCTCCCCTGATTTACCAGTTTTAAAGGCTATAGCTACACAAGAGCCTCCAGTAACCAAGCACTTCTGAAACGCAGATTTCCAACTGCCCCTAATAAAAAACAATTTTCTGGGACGGTCGGAACCATCAACTGGCCTCATTCGTTATATTTCAAAGATTTTAAAGCAAAATAAATAAAATAGCATATTTTTTAATTATAGGAAATGCTCTAAAAAAATAAGTGTGGACTGTCTCTATGCAGACACCGTGCGTTCTGTGCAGCTAATGTGTGAGTCACGTGCACGGTATCATCTTAAACGTATGCACGGTGAATACGATCCGCACGGCGGTGTTTCTGTGTGGATGGTCCTCACACAATTTTTTTTTTGTGCTAGCCAAGTATCATGGTTGCACGTCTTATGTCACAAGTCACCTTGCGTCTTATAGGATTTGAACCCATGATCTTCTCTTGACTCACACGAGTCCCCCAGACCACGTTCTCAGCTGTGACCTAGTATATAAATGCTATCATTTTTATTAACTTTTAAGAATTCTATATTCAATATTGTGGCCCTAAACGATCTCAAGTAAAAATAATTTGAATACAAAGTTTTCCATCTTATCAAGCGCGTGTGCATCCATCCAAGGTCACTCAAAAAATTCAAAAACTTAAGACAAATATTTGTGCCCCAGAAAGAATTCAAATAAGACAGGTGTCAATTACAATGTTTTAAATCTGATAAGGTCTACAACTTTAGTATAAAGTTCATCTTCTTCGATTTTATTATGAAAATAGAGGGTATTTTTAGAGCCGATGGATAACACCAGTGTCGACAAAAGATGCTTGGCAGTCCTCCGAGGGGTATCCCATGAAGGTAGATTGATCGGTGGAGGTGCGCGTAATCAGAAACCGGATGGTGACACAAGGCGTAGAGACCGCGATTTAGATAGGTTCGGGCCGTCTGATCGACGTAATACCCTATGTCCTGTGTCTTTGGTGTATTGTATTGGATATGAGATATATGTCGATGTCGACTAAGGGACCCCTGCCTCTCCTTATATACTCTGGAGGGGTAGGGTTACAAGAAAAGTATCATATTTGGTATTATGCAATATCTTGCGGTGCACGTCGACCAGTGCTGTACATGTCTTGATCTTGTGAGCTAGGCCACCTCCGATGGTGCAGCCCATGTGACCTGCCGTGGGTATCGGGGGTCGTACCCCCCACAGCTAGTCCCGAGCGCCTTGTATCCGTTGTGCAACGCCGTCTTGAGCTTGTCCGAGCAGGTGCGAACAAAGCCGAGCAGTCAAACTCATGGTCCGATCACCGTGATGAGTTGCTGAGCAGTTGTGAACCGTCGCCGAGCAGTTGTGAACCATCGCCGAGCAGTGTGAACCATCGCTGAGTAGTGTGAACCATCGCCAAGCAGTGTATCCCGAGTAAGGCTTGCCATAAGGATGTAAGGAGCTCAAGTTCAAAATCGAAAATTTCCTCCACTTAGGAGAAGTGTAGCCACTTAGACTCCGTCAATAAGGAGGGTAAATCAAGAAATAAGCACTACATTCACCGCCAGATGAAGTGTAGCCACTTAGTCCCCGGGCCTACTGGAAGATGAAGAATGAATCTTGTAGCAGGGTCAAAGAAAAGAAGTGTGAAAGCTTACCGATGTCATCTGACATGCGCGTATCAAGACCCCAGACGTGCTGCCCAAGATCAGCACCCTGATCCGAACAGCATGGAGCAACTTGATAGCACACCAATGAGACGTAGCAAGATCCGACCACCAAGGGAGTTCTCAGCTTAGCTAGCGATGTCCGAGCACTGAGGAGTCTCCGACGTAGCTGGCAATGTCCGAGCACCAAGGGAGTCCTCAGCTTAGCTGGCGATGTCCGAGCACCGAGGAGTTCTTGGCGTAGCTAGCGATGAAGCATGAGCGACGAACAGTTCGATCAACTGGTCAACGGTGAAGTGAGCATTGAGTAGAAACGACTGGCGAACAGCCCGATCAACTGGTCGGCGACGAAGTCCATGAACCTAGCGGTTCGACCAGTTGATCGGTGGAGAAGTCCGAGCCCTAGGTGGTCTGATCACCTAGACGATGATCCTGCAATACAAATATATAGAACGGGTAGTACATGATGTAAAAATATATGAACTTCGAAGAAAAATCAGCAATGGTGATGAAATAGCGTATGCGCTCGGCGATCAGTTGGTGTGAAGATGTATTTATATTTAATGTAAACCGCACGAACAGTTAGTGTATAGCTGAGTCTCCAGCCCTAACTAGCCTGTTAACCATAACGCGGAGCACGGAGCCCGTGTGCATGTAGGAAGAACAAAGCGTCACTAAGGAGCCAATGCCGACCACCCATAACGCAGAGGGCAGACGCTCGTGCACGGGTAGGGAGGAGCCGAAGACAGGGCCGTCTCTGGGGACATCCGAGCATCAACATGACTGTTCGGGGATTTGTCTTAGACTTAGCTGTATGTCATCTTTAAGATGGTATACATGAAACAAAATCGTTTGGAGAGCAAACATAGAGAAAACAACTCGGAGAAACATTATGGCGATATACGAAGATTGGAGAATATTTAGAAGAATATTAAAGCATGACTTAGCTTTAGACAGAATGTCTGGTCATCGGCGTATGGCGTTATCTGGTCGGCGACGCAGGCAGCTCGCTTAGCAGCTCACTTGACGGCTGGAATGAAGTTGATCTCGTGTTGGAGTAGGACGGACGTAGTCGAAGCTTGGCGGTGTCAATCCACGTACGAAGACATGCGCCGTGGTTGTCGAAAGATATTGATCTTGTGTTACACCATCTGGTTCACTAGGGATCAGCGCACACGAGCCCCACGATGGGCACCAACTATCGACAAAAGATGCTCGGCAGTCCTCCGAGGGGTATCCCACGAAGGTAGATTGATTGGTGAAGGCACGCGTAATCAAGAACCGGATGGTGACACAAGGCGTAGAGACAGCGATTTAGACAGGTTCGGGCCATTTGATCGATTAATACCCTACGTCATGTGTCTTTGGTGTATTGTATTGGATATGAGATGTATGTCGATGTCGACTAAGGGATCCCTGCCTCTCCTTATATACTCTCGAGGGGTAGGGTTACAAGGAAAGTATCCTATTTGGTACTATGCAATATCTTATGGTGCACGTCGACCAGTGCCGTGCATGCCTTGATCTTGTGGGCTGGGCCACCTCCGATGGTGCAGCCCATGTGACCTACCGTGGGTATCGGGGGTCGTACCCCC